TCAACAGACTGAGTTCCAGCACAGCCTGGGAGAGGGGAAAAAAATAAAGAAAAGAAAAGGAATAGTTACATGGTCCAACCTGGTCAATCAGCACATGGTGTCTTTTAGCTTCAGTCAGTTGGCGCAACACAAAGGCCTATGATCGGATCTGGTCCAATGGGATAGCCCCTCCCTTCTGGACTGCAAGATTCAGCCCAAACACACCCCCATCCAAAGCAAAGCTCACAGAGGGAGGAAAAGGGATGGAGCCCAGGGGTCCCAACACATTAGACCTTCTCAAAACATGGGCCAGCCATTCCTCCTCCTCTTTAAGTTGGCATAATTGGTATTTTTGGCATTTGCCACCAAAAGATTCCTGACTGACACCCCTAGCCCACTGGCTGTCCACCATAGCTCTTGAAGAATGCTAAGTGATAACTTCCTGCTGTGGGATGTTCTGTATGGCAAATGTGTTGCTGATTGGTTGGTAAATAAAGCACTGATTGGCCATTGGCTAGGCAGGAAGTGTAGGCAAGACAAGGAGAAGAATAAAGCTGGGAAGTGGAAGGCTGAGTCAGAGAGACACTGCCAGCCGCCATGATGAGAAACAGCATGTGAAGATGCCGGTAAGCCACGAACCACGTGGCAAAGTATAGATTAATGGAAATGGATTAAATTAAGCTGTAAGAACAGTTAGTAAGAAGCCTGCCACGGCCATACAGTTTGTAACCAATATAAGTCTCTGTGTTTACTTAGTCGGGTCTGAGCTGCTGTGGGACTGGTGGGTGACAGAAATTTGTCCTGACTGTGGGCCAGGCAGGAAAACTCTAGCTACAACTTCCCTGCCACAAAGAGCACTTTAATCTGGAAGCCAAATAAATACTCAAGCCAGGGTATCAAGATGGCTGCTGAGGGACGCACCCCCTGGATGCTGAACTGGTTGGTTTTCATCTAAGAAGAGAGTCTTAATGAGGAATTATCTAGACCTGGTTGGCTTGTGGGCATGTCTGGGGTGGGGGGGGGGGGGGGGAATGTTGTCTTAATTGTTGGCTGAGGTGGGAAGACCCACCCTAAATGTGGAAGGCATTATTTCATACACTGGGCCCCTGACTATATAGAACAGAGGTTCTCAACGTTCTTAACACTGCAGCCTTTTAATACAGTTCCTCGTGTTGTGGTGACCCTCAACCACAAAATTATTTTCGTTGCTGCTTCATAACTGTAATTTTGCTACTTTTATGAATCACAATGTAAATATCTGTGTTTTCCAATGGTCTTAGGCGACCCCTGTCATTCCACCCCCTCAAAGAGTCTCAACCCTCAGATTGAGAAATGCTTATATAAAAGTAGAGACCACTAGCTGAGTACTAGCAAGCAAGCAAAAATCCATCCACCCCTTTTGCTCTTGAGTGTGGACACAATGCTCTAAGTCCCTGCCTTGACTTTCTCACAACCAGGACTGTAAACTGGAATTGTGAGCCAAACAAACTCTCTCTCCCCTAAGTTGCTCTTTGTCGGGGTGTTTGCTACAGCAACAGAAATGGAGCTAGAACAGATGGCTTCCTCTGTCCCTGGCTGGAAGAGGTAAGGAGTGGGGCCATCTGCTCACCCCTCCCCAGATGGCCCAGTGGAGTCAGGAGGCCGTGGTGATGGGGCATGTCTGATCACTCTGCCTGCCGGGCTCAGAACACACTGAAGTGGTCTCTCGGCAGACTTGAGTTTTCTGTCCACCACGCGCACCGGGATCAGCTTAGGAGGCGACTCAGAACAGCTCTGTTGTCAGCCTGTCTCTCTGGCCAATACAAAGGATCTCCAAATGACTGGAACATCTTTACATCATAAAGAGCTTGGACTAAACACAAAATTCATTTATAGGAGAAAACCAGTTCTGAGAAAAAGCTCTCTCTGGAGGTGACTTGCAATGAGTGTGGAGTCCAAAGGGGCAACTTGCCCTCATTCCTGATAATACAGTGGGAATCACAGCAGCTCCGGCGCCTGGCTGTATATGCACCAAGCACCCGCCACCCTGGGCTTATTAAAGGCACCTCTCAAATTCCGTCCTCACCATGAGATTAAAAGGCCATCAAGATGGCTGGGGGGGGGGGGGGTGGTAAAGTGCTCGCCATGCAAGCCTGCTGGCCTGCGTGCAATCCCCAGAACCCACATAAAGGCAGAAAGAGAGAACCAGTTCATGAAGTTGTTCTCTGATCTACACACAGACAATAATAATAAACAATTTAAAAGCACTCTGTGTAAGAAGGAGGTTAAACAAAAAAAGATTAGAAAGAAAATGGTTGGTGCCATCAGCACGAGGGAGCTGATCCCAGACAGGGGGAGGAAATGCCCAAGGTCACACTTACAGCTGGTAGTGGAGCTGTGGTTACATTGACATCAGAGGTTGAGGGCCAAGGAAGCTGCTGAGTGAGACTTCCGCCTGTTTCTCAGAGTCAGGGAACAAGTCGGGCTGTTACAGTAACAAGTTCAAAGGAATGCCAGCCCAGTGTCAACCCCACCTCTAGCTGTTGGATTCACCCAGAAGCAGGACAAGGTGACTGAACGACAGCATCCAGTTTGGCGAGGAGTCTAAAGATAGAGAGCCTGGAAGGGGCTGTGGTGGGGAAAGTGAATGACTGCTGAGAGCTTGCCATGAGCCTGTCAAGCCCTTCTTTGAGACAGCATGTTGCCCTACACTCACACAACAGCTACAGAGCAAATGAGGTCCTAAGCGATGTTCATTTTGCTCATGCAATGTCTTGGTTTATCATGATTGTTACTATTTTCTCCCTCCGAGCTGGGGATAGAACCCAGGACCTTGCACGTGCTAGGCAAGTCACTGAGCTATACCTCCAGACCTCTTTAAACTATTAATTTAGTTTAAGTCACCCAGGCTGACACTGAACTCGCACTGGAGCCCAGCGGTCTCCCGTCTTCCTGCCTCGGCCTCCTGGTGGTTCATGTATTTTTGTTCTCGTTTTATGGATCCTGACAGTGCCCTTAATGGTTTGGACAACACAGAATTCTAGGTGATTCTTGAAGCAGTACTCAGACAGCAGCCAAAGTACTGCTCAATGCCGCTGGAGTGCCTGACAGTACAGATCACCTAACCCTCCTCAGCCCCAACACAGGGGTGGCCTCAGGAAGCTAGCTGCTGGCAGTGGGAACGTACACAGAGGTGGCTGGAGCCGACTGACGGGCAGCTGACAAGAGCCAGGGAAGGCTTGGGGAATTTTGTGAGCCAGGTGATATTGTGCTGGCAATTTAAAACTGGTCACAGTGGAAATATTTACACCACAGAAATGGGCTAATACCATGAATCAAGGGCTTTTAAATTGATTTCCATGAGTTATTTGTTAAATATTTCCCAGCATGCTATGGACTTGGGAGAAACAATTCTGATCCATTCATCTATTAGTACATCCGTCCATCCACTCATCCATCCATTCACTCATTCCTTCACCCATCTAGTTGTTCACTAATTCACTCACTCACTCATTCATCGGTCTAGTCATTCACTCATCTAGTCATTCATTCAACCTTCCATCCATTCATTCACAGGCCCAGCCACTCATTCATATATATTGAATATATAACATGTAATTTTGACCCATAATGTAGTTTACATTCACTCTGTAGACTTTTGCTTCGTGGTCTGCAGTGTTCCAGGTTCTGTGCTAAGTACTGACAATTCAACAGTGGGAAGGAGAGCTATAACCCCTTGCCTTTGTGGACTTTACAGACTAATGAGAGAGTCAGATTCTACACCCAAAAGAGCATAATGACCTTTACAATGAGAAGGAAATTAGCCAAGCTAAGCTGGTAGGTGGAGGCAGAGAGACACAGGAAGAAGAAACAGCATGTGCAGAGTCCCATGGCAGGAGGAAGCCTGGGGCACAGAGGGAAGTGCTGGGGAAGAAATGAAAGGAGAGGGAGCTATTGTTACTTCCTAAGCCTCGGGCTGTGTGCCCAAGGCCCCCCACATCCAAGGCCTATGGATTTCCACCCTCAGATCTTCCTCAGATCCCCTCTATGGGACCCTTCCTCGACTCAGTTTCCAAGTGAAAGCCAAAAATGGAGGTGATGTTCAGGCCTGGTGCTACAGGCCTATAATCCCAGCTACTCAGGCTGAGGGCAGGAGAATTGCAAGTCCAAAGCCCGACAGAGCTACAGAGTGTGCTCAAGGTCAGGCTAGAAAACAGTGGGACTGTTTAAACAAAACTAAAAAGAAGGAAAGAGGGCTAGGGATAGAGTTGGGTGGTAGAGCATTTGCCGAGTGTGAGCACGGCCCTGGATTTAGTGCCCAGTACTGAAGTGGGTGGAGAGAAGATGGAAGTACCAACTTCATGGGGTGGATGTGAGAAGCAACTAAAGACAACGATGAGAAGCTCTTGGTTTGGTGTCTGCACAACTCTAAGTTCCAAAGAATGAAATTGCTCCTTTGTTTCCTGCCTTCCACAAGTGCCCTTCAGCCCTTTCCTCTCTTCTCTACAGAGGGTTAGGCCCTGTGGGAGGTGCTGGGAAAACCTGACGCCAGCAAGGCACAGCAATGACCCTTCAGACTGTTCTCCACCTCCTAAGCACCTGCCTTGAAGCACCCCACACCCTCTCTACTGACAAGCTGGCCCTCGGTCTATGAGACAAGACCTCTCATTCGGCCTTCAGCATCCAAAGATGTTCAGACACCAGTGTGGGCTCCCCTACCGTCTTTCGTGATGATTGCCACTCAAATGCAATTGCTCGGATAGTGAGGGCCTCTCTCCGCAGCGAGTCTATAAGGGCCTAGAGGGCATTGCTTAGATTTGAGTTCGTTCTCAGTCACCAAGTTGCTTGGTGCACAGGACTGTCGATTAGTTGGAAGAACTCTACACACATTCTAGGTAGAGCAAGAGTGGCCCCGCCCCGCTGACGTAGCCCCAGTCTTGTCTCAGGCCTGGTGGTCAAAGGCCACCTCCACCCACCACCATCACAACCACTGCAGTTCAGGAACCCAAGTTCCTCCATCCATCCACTATCCCCAGACTTACTGAGAAGCTGTCGGCTTGAGTCGCTGACCGTCACATTTTCCTGCCAGAAGGGGTTCATCAGCGGCGTGCAGGAGCTCTGGACTGATGGAAGGGAGGAGTTCACTGGCAGGACCCTGGCATTTTTCCCCACAAAGCCTCCCTAGATGTCTCCCACCCAAGAAAGCAAACGGAGCGTTGTGCACTTGTGAGCCGCATTGTGCACTTGTGAGCCTAGCTGGGCCCTGCCGGGAGCACTTGTGCAGGCCATCCTCTCTGTCCACCCTCCCCGCATCCCTAAGTGAGAGAGGAGTGTGAGCCAAGCAACAGGTCCCAGGCTTGCAGGTACAGCACCATGGTGCGAACGCAGACACCTGGGGAGGACCCTTACCCCGGCAAGTGCGCCAGAGACCGGAGTGGGAGCTCAGAGGCTCTAGCTGGCTGTGGTTGGCGGGTCCCCGGTCCTGCGCCCCCGAGCTGTTCCTCTCCAGCCTCTCGGTGTCGATGATGTACCAGAAGTCGGTGCCGATGGCGACCGCCAGCAGCACGAAACTGATGGCCCCACTCAGTGCCGCCGCGCCCGCCAGAGCGCCCAGGCGCACCCGCATCTCCCAGCGTAGGGCCCCTGGGCGCAGGCTCCTGCCCACGCTCCCCGTCTGTTCGCTGCACCCCAGATTCTCCAGCGTGGATCTGGAGCGCGGCTCAAACTCTGGCTCCACCACCCTCACCTGAGCGATCACACTCGCACGTGCTCCAGCTCGGACCCACGATCTCAGGGCTCCCTGTCCTCTCTGACCTCCTCCCTGGTGCCTTCCGACCCTCCCGGAGCACCGGTCCCAGCCCGGCACCGTCGCTGCCTCCTCACTCAGCTCCACCCTGTGCCCGGTGCACAGTCCCAGCGCCTTCCTCCTTCTAGCTCGGCACTTTTCTCCCCAGACCCCACTACTGCCCCCACTTCCTAGCCTCACTCTCCATGAACTCCCCAGCAGCTCCCCGCCACTTTCGGCCTCAGCCCTCCTTGCTCTCCCCACACCTCTGCTTTGACCCCCCCGCTGCAGCCTGGGTCTACCTTCACTTCCCACAGCTCTGGTTCAGGGCCAGTGCCCTAAAACCTCAGGAAGACTGGCTCCCAAGGCAAGCAGGCTGGACTGAGGGAGGGGCCGAGGGGGCGGTGCTGGAGAGAGGGCGGACTTCAGACACTGGAGTCAGAGGGGGGGCGACAGTCTCTAGTCTGAGGGTACAGATTCTCCCGCAAAGCCTCCTCCTGAAACGATTTTGATTTCAAAATCCACCTTCAAGTAATTTTTATGGACTGGCTACAAAGGAAAAAGTCGGATTTGGGTTTTTTTTGTAAAAAAAAAAAAAAAAAAAAATTCTTTGAAGTAGGGAAGGCCAGGTTCTGTGAATCTATTTTCTTTGTCACCAAAGTCTTCATCATCACAGCCACCACCTCCCTCACCCCTGCTACCACCACCTCCCTCACCCCCACCCCACCACCTCCCTCACCCCCACCCCACCACCTCCCTCACCCCCACCCCACTATCTCCACCTCCCTCACCCCCACCCCACCACCTCCCTCACCCCCACCCCACCACCTCCCTCACCCCCACCCCACCACCTCCCTCACCCCCACCCCACCACCTCCACCTCCCTCACCCCCACCCCACCACCTCCCTCACCCCCACCCCACCACCTCCCTCACCCCCACCCCACTACCTCCCTCACCCCCACCCCATCACCTCCCTCACCCCCACCCCACCACCTCCCTCACCCCCACCCCATCACCTCCCTCACCCCCACCCCACCACCTCCCTCACCCCCACCCCACCACCTCCCTCACCCCCACCCCATCACCTCCCTCACCCCCACCCCACCACCTCCCTCACCCCCACCCCACCACCTCCCTCACCATCTCTACCATTGCTCTCACCCCATAATCATTATCTCTACCATCTCCACCCTCACCCCCCACCACCACCAACAACAACCATCCCCACCCTTCCCCTCCACCACCACCAACAACCATCCCCACCCTCACCCCACCATCACCAACAACCATCCCCACCCTCACCCCACCATCCCAATAACCATCCCCACCCTCACCCCACCATCACCAACAACCATCCCCACCCTCACCCCACCATCCCAATAACCATCCCCACCCTCACCCCACCATCCCCAACAACCATCCCCACCCTCACCCCACCATCCCAATAACCATCCCCACCCTCACCCCACCATCCCAATAACCATCCCCACCCTCACCCCACCATCACCAACAGCCATCCCCACCCTCACCCCACCATCACCAACAGCCATCCCCACCCTCACCCCACCATCACCAACAGCCATCCCCACCCTCAACCCCCACCACCATCACCAACAACAAGCATCCCCACCCTCACCCCACCATCACCAACAACCATCCCCACCCTCAACCCCCACCACCATCACCAACAACAACCATCCCCACCCTCAACCCCCACCACCATCACCAACAACAGCCATCCCCACCCTCACCCCACCATCACCAACAGCCATCCCCATCCTCACCCCACCATCACCAACAACCATCCCCACCCTCAACCCCCACCACCATCACCAACAACAAGCATCCCCACCCTCACCCCACCATCACCAACAACCATCCCCACCCTCAACCCCCACCACCATCACCAACAACAACCATCCCCACCCTCAACCCCCACCACCATCACCAACAACAAGCATCCCCACCCTAACCTTACCCCACCATACCAACAACAACCATCCTCACACCCCACCATCACCAACAACAAGCCTCATCATCACTGTTACCCGGCAGCAGCACAAACCTCATTACCATTCTCTTTACCATCATCAGCATTCTTATCAACCCTACCATGTTCTTAACCAGCATAAAACCTTCCATTCCTTCAAGAAAGACCTGCAACACCAGTGTGTCTGAAACAAGGGCGCAGGCTGAGAAGGAAGGAGGCATAAGCAGCCCAAACACAACCTAGACTTCCCAGTCCTTCTCATGCAAGACACCCAGAGAAATTGTTCATGTGTGTGCGGCATATGGGAGTGAAGGAAGCAGATTCTAAGAGCCAGACATAGCCTGCCTTGGGGGCTGCAGCTATCAGCCGCCCTCGTGGCTGCCTTCATGGCTGAGGGTTAAAACCCTTGACCCTGCTGCCATACATTCTTAAAGAACTGTCTTGCTAACATCCAAAAGTGAACAGGCTATGGTCAAGTCCAAGATCATTAAAGTGTGCTTAGAACATCCCGAGGGATGGTGGTGGGGGTGAGTAACCATAGGGAGGTCTCAGTTAGTCTCTGAGGAAGTGACATTGATCCTGAGACATGGAAGAGACACCAGCCTATCATGCCTATAGAAGTGTGTCAGTTTGAGTACATTCCAGAGACGCTGAAAGAATTGGTGAAAGAGGCACAGAAGAGTGAGATGGGGGTGGAGGGCAATGGTGTACAGCTCTGCAGGCTCATGAGGGGGACTTGGGGTTTCAGAGCCCCCAGGATTGAAAGTTTAATCTCTGGACAGTTTAAAGCAAGAAACTGAAATGTTCTAACTTACATGGTGGGGGGGCCTAAACCCTCAGTCTCTGTGCTATTAGTATATAGTGCTGAATGGCAAGAAGCAGGAACAGCTGAGGAGGTGAGGGAGTGGGGGAGGTGGATCAGCAGGTGAGAGCCCCGCTGAACAAGCATGAGGATCTGAGTTCAAAACCCTGGAATGCACAAAAAAATCAGACGCAGTCACATGCACTTGTAACCCCAGCTTAGGGTGGGAAGGGCAAAGATGGAAGGATCGCCAGGATTTGCTGATTGCCAGGGCTTGCCGATCTCCAGGGCTTGCTGATCTCCAGGGCTTGCCGATCGCCAGGGCTTGCTGATCGCCAGGGCTTGCTGATCTCCAGGGCTTGCCGATCGCCAGGGCTCGCCCATCTCCAGGGCTTGCCCATCTCCAGGGCTTGCCCATCTCCAAGGCTTGCTGATCACCAGCCTAGCTCCAAATTCAGAGAGAACCCAGCCTGAAAACAACAAAGCAGTGTACACCCCCCAGTCTCCATGGCATGTATGAGATTGTGCACACACACATACATGTACACATACAACACAAAAACAAAATTTAGGAGGGGTTGGGAAGACATACTAGAAGAAGCGAGGGATCCTGTAACTTGGGCTAGGCTAGTAACATGGTGAACAAGGAAGTGTACGTAGTGTTTCACATTGAAAGGTTAGAACTGATCAAGACAGCGTTAATGTGGAGAATTATGCTGTCATTGTTTTTCTCATTCCCAAAGCCTTCATCCTTCTCACCCTCATCTTCACCCTCAGCAGCATCAGCGTGCTGAAGCCATAATTAAACCTTCAATGTCACTTGCTCTTGGTTGGCTTTGTAAAAGTCACTGACTGTGGAAGTCACACAGCTGGACACTGTATTTCTAGTCTCCCACTGACTTTGCTAAAGGACACCTCTGACTAAGGCCACCTGATGAGTCCAACACTGCTCCTCAACATACGTATCTCTCCGGTCCTCTGAGGCACGTGGCTTTTCTCCGCATTCCCTGGTCCTCCGGGGGGAAACCTCTTTCTGTCTTTTCCCATCCCCTGAATCAAAGACACCTTTTGTACTCCAAGCTATCACAGCAGAATGAACTGTCCTTGGGAGGACATCAGTCATAAGACCTTTTAATCGGTTGCTTTTCTTCAGATTTACAGAACCCAGAACACAACTTGTAGATAGCAGCATCCCACAAACCAGAAAAATAGGCCCCTCCCCTGAAATTTGTAACCACCCTGCAATTTATGATCAGACCATTGCCTGCCTATCTGACACATCTCCCCACAACTCCCTACATGAGCCTCATGCCCGCCAGCAACCCCTAGGGAAGTGGTCTTAGTTGCACAGATCTTTATTCTTGGGACAGCAGCTTGTCCTTGTGAACTTGGATACATAGTTGCAAGCTAATGGAGCTATCAATTGCAGAATGGCATCTTCTTATTCTGCAAACTATTTTTCCCCCTCTCTGTCACCACTGATGTGTGTGTGTGTTTGTGTGTGTATGTGTGTGTGTGTGTGTGTGTGTGTGTGTGTGTGTGTGCAGATATGCTCACCTATGGATGTCCGTGTGAAGCCAGAGGTCCTCATTTGTTGAGACAGGGTCTCTCAATGAATCTGAACATCACCATTTAAGCTAGACTGTCTGGCCAGTGAGTCCCAGAGACCCACCTGTCTCTGCTCCCCATCCAGCCCTGGGGTTGCAGGTGTGTTCCACCATGCCCAGGGTTTGCATGGGTGTAAAAGGGATTCAAAATAGGTCCTTACACAATAGCACTTTACACACTAAGCCATATTCCCACCCCCAGCTTTGTTTGCTTCTAAACTCTGCCACACATCATTTTCATTAGAAACATCACCAGGCAGGAGATCAGGAGTTCAAGGATAGCTTCCAACATAAAGGGAGTTCAAGGCTGGCCTGGGTTATATGAAACCCTATCTCAACACACCAATTACTCACAAAATAATATATTTGAGATATACTTTTAAAATATGTTGTGTTGGCGGGCGGTGGTGGCGCACACCTTTGATCCCTGCATTCAGGAGGCAAAGCCAGGCAGATCTCTGAGTTTGAGGCCAGCCTGGTCTACAGAGCAAGATCCAGGGCAGATCCTACCAATACTACACCAATACTACATAGAGAAACCCTGTCTCGAAAAAACCAAACCAAAAAGAAAAGTGTTGTGTTGTTTATCTGGAGTTTAAATTTAATTAGTTATTCTGCATTTTACATGATGAACCCAGCTGGCTCCAGTAAGAAAACCAAGACACATATACCAGAGGCAACAACATGGACAGTCACGGGTCAAGCCACTAGATACCCGCCCTGTCTAGCATGGGCATGTCCCCTGGTGAGTGTCCACGCTCCTCACCTGTAGGA